CGCATGGCGTTTCAAGAGACATTACTCTGCAGACATCAAGCTGATAGGAACAGTTTTGACCAGATACGTAGAGACACAACTCTTTCAACAAGCGCCAGGCCCAAATCCAGCTTTAACTCTGAACAAAGACTACCAACAAGTAAAGTGGACTTCGTTAAAGATAAACCATACTGCATCGAAACTGAGATTGATGATAAAACAATATTTTATTATCCTAACGCAAAAAATACTCTGCAGGACAATCATGATAATGGTGGACCGTCATAGAGTTAAAATAGTAAATATATACATATTTATATAATATCTATTAGTACTCTTATTGTATAGACAAATGTTTAAAATTGGTCTTAATGTGTCGCACCCAGCGCGGTCATGTGTGGATTCATCCAATAATGAAAAAATACTTATAAAAAATATAAACGATTCTTTAAAAAAAACTGATTATGTATATAATTTTTTATTGCCGAACAAATTAAAACAGTGTAAAAAATAGATAACCATAAAATCACAATTTTTATTGATGATAGTTATAGTAACTCTTATACAGGTCTATATTTACTGGAAATTATTAAAGTTTTTATATTTGCCTATTCATTTTGACATTTTCCATCACTCTACAGACTTGGGTTTAGTATTAATCAAACTTATTTGTAACCTTGAAAGTATTTCGTTACCACAATAAATAAGGGTTTAATAAATAAGAAGGAATAGCCTTAAGGCGTTATTTATAAATAGGATAAGTTGTTGTAAATATTATTAGAATAGGAAATAGTTATTTGTAAGAATTGTAAAAATATCGATACTTTTTTGTTTCATTCTCGACATGTAAAACCTCCTTTATCTTACCTTATCTTCTATTTATTAATATTATTTAAGACCATAATCTTGTAAATATCCCTTTATTAGAATAACATTTAACTGACAAATTATTAAATTCTAAATTAAAATTTACTTTTATTGTATTATCTGCGCAATTTTACATTTTATTAACTGTATTATTTAGTATAAGAAATGATATAAATATAAGTAATGAATATTTTATATCGAATAATTACGTACGTTAAGTTTTGTATATATTCAAAGATACTTGTGTTTTGATGTAATATTAAAATAAAAAAAATGTCAAAAGGTTGTTTAAATTATTCTTCGTTTCATTATATTTAATATAAAGTATTTCATAACCAAAAAAATCATTCAGGAAATGACACTTAATGTTGAAAACAAATGGATAAAAGGAGTAATATAATTATTATATGATTTATAATTTTTCCATGCATTTATATTCATATTTTATGAAAAACTAATAGTCGGATTGCCTATGAAAATAACCGTAGATCTGTTTATAAAATATACATTATAAAAGTTCACTATTTCTTTATTAATGCTCTTATTTCTTGTTCTTCTATGAATTTAATAAGAAAAGCTTTTATCAAAAACATATTTAAAACATTTTTTTTTAAACAAAAAAATATTTTCTACAATGTCAAAACTGTAATTTAAATCACAGGATAACTGATTTATATGAGGCGATACTTATCAGACTTCAATGTATTCAGGGTACGGGTGCCGAGTCCATAGTTGTAGGGAGAGGAGCTCCAACAGTGCCTGGGACTTGCAACCCAGGTGTAGGTTTAAGGGGCCCCTTGTCTAAAGCTCGTTAAACGATCACCTCCACCGTTCTCTCCTCCACCAAGTTTGTTGTTTTTAGATTATATGAATAATTGTAACTATTTGAATTATACTACAAAGGCAGTTAAAGTTACCGTTTTATATCTGTTGTGTTTTACTATTCTATTATAAATTACTGCTTTTTGAATCATTGCTTGTAATATTTGGGGCAAAAGCTGTATATTATTAAAATCCCATTATTTTTAACTTTATTCAAGCACAGAATTTATAGGCGCATGTAATGTAATCTCAGTCAAAAACCCAATGAATTGTGACATAATCTACCCATATAGATGAGGAAAATGTTGTTTTAAAGCTAAAATAGGGCCAAAAACTGCTATACATGCCATAATATATATCCCTTTTATATAACAAATACTTGAAATACATTTTCGCCTTAAAATAAGTATAAAAAATGAAAATTTAAATAAATTTTGATAAAAACAAAAAAACTCTCTTATCTGAACAACAATAATATGTACATTAATCACTTTTTAAATTATTGTTTGGGCTTTTGATAGACCATTAAGTTAAACCTCACGAATAAAGTCGTATTTACTGAAAATTATGACTTAAATTTAAGTCTACCGCCCAATTGTTTGATCTAGATAACAATATCTCTTCTACCTGGCAATTTCCCAGCTTTAACCAGGGTCTGCCTTACATGCTGTGAATAGTTTTGGCTAATCGCTTTTCCGAACGGCCGCCTGCCTGACATCAACCATCTTTGGGAATGCATTAATCAGGGATGTCTAAATACTCTCAGAAAGTACATATGACTCGGGAAAATCACATTGGTACTTGCCAGGATCGAACTCGCGCACTCATGCATGAGAGGCGGGCCTTTTAACCACTGACATCTAGATAAACATATCTATGAAGAGGTAACTTCAAATGTTAGTTTGTAAGTTGGAATCGTAATGACATTAGAGATATAAAAGTGTACTGGGCACTTTCATCTGATATTACCTATCCATTCAGCGATCAATAAATCCTTTATTTTATCAGAAGTATCTTTACTGTCCCTTTATCATAACGACCTGTTCAATTTAATTAATTGTTTTAGTTGTTTCGTCAGATTGAAACGATATTTATATATACATACATATGTAAAACAAAACTGTAGAGGTTGAATTTCTGTAAATAGAAAAAAATACTTAAACCAAAAAAAAATATTTTTTAATTTTTTTTGTTTCTGTTTATGTGTTTGTCTGTTTATACAGGCTAATCTTCGAAATGGCTAGAATGATTTCAAAGAAATTTTGCATGGTTATACCTTATATCTCTGGTCAATATCTTATATACTTTTTATTCCGGAAAACTAAAGGGTTCCCGTGGTATAGTGAAAAACTATAGTAACTTGAACATCTCAGTACAACTTATGTAAGCAGATAAACTTACAACTGTACTGACTATAAAAACTGAAAAACTATAGTAACTTGAACATCTCAGTACAACTTATGTGCTTACATAAGTTGTACTGAGATGTCCTTACCTTATGGTGATACTCTAATTTTAATTACATACATACATAAGATCACGTCTTGATCCCTTGCGGGGTAGACAGAGTCACATAGGCCATAAAACCCCAAAAGGCAAAGTTTAGCATATTAGTGTAGTGTGTGTCATCGTACTATGTGCTCGATACCTGTCATATAAGATAAATGAAAAAATATACAGGCAGTCTTTATAATCGATGCAGAATAAAAAATATATATTAATAGAATTTTATCTGTAAGTCTGTATGTTTGTGAACGCTTATCTCAGAAGTAGATTAATTGATTTGAGTGCGATTTCTATTGCCTCATGGAAAGTTATCATTTTCAAGTTATTTGATATTTTAAGTTTTATAACTAAAGATCACTGATGCTCAGGTTATGGATATGTTTTTTTTTTATTTCCAGCATTTAAACTTTAAGTTTTTATTATTTTTGTATTTAAGATACTCAGAATTGAGTATTAATGAAATAAAATTAACATATTCGTACGACGCGACGCCAGAGCTAAAATGTACATATTTTTTTCTTAAACCTCTTACTTCAGCTCTCTCAAAAAAAAAAAATTAGTAGTATAATATTTCAACATTCCTAAAAACATCTGTTTATAAAGCGACATAAAACGTTACCAATTTTATTACCGTTGCACTATTTGCGGTTTGTCATAATGGAGATAATGTTATAGTTTATAACTTATGGCATTTTAAGCGTATACAGTTCCCGGTAAGTTTGTGTTATGAAATTACTATAAACAAAGCCCAAGGACAGACGCTATGTGTTGTCGGCGTGGACCTCAGCGTCGACTGTTTCTCGCACGGTCAGCTCTATGTGGCTTTTTCCCGTGTAAGTCAACCAAACAATCTATTTGTTTATGTTCCGATCCAAACAAAGTCGAACGTTGTTTATAAAGAGGTATTATAACCATTAAAAGGTAGATACCAGCTAGGTATAGGTACGGAACACTTAGTGCGAGATTCCGACTCGGTTTTGCTGATCGCGTTGATCAAACCACCTTTGAGGCATAGTGGTCATTTACGGTACCGCAAATGCCTTTGTCTCGCAAGGATCTGGGTTCAATCACATGCCAGGTCAAATTGGAAAATCATCTGTATCCAATTCTTCACATTTTATTTTATCTACAAGTAGCGGTCGATTGCCGCTTGGCCCGCGTTTACCATGCTAATGAAGACGCGGGCGTGATTTTACATAGCCTTCCTCGATAAATGGACTATCCTTAACTGAAAGACCGTTCAAATTAACTCCTTTATATATTCGTATAGGAAATATTTACGCAAAAATCCAAACTTCGTATTTTCATTTTTTTCTGTAAGTAAACTTCGCTTGTCGCGTTAAATGCTTTATGCATGTTTTGAAATGTAGAAAATTACATTACAAATACGGCGCTACCCGCAAAATTATTTTAAATCTAAGTATATTAAATTAAGTTCCAATATATGCATTAATTAATATATATTGTAATACAGAGTCCTTTTCAATAGGCCCCACGTTGGGCGCCAGTGTAATACAGAGGGCTTTGACGTGAAGGTTGGTTTACAATAAGACGGCTAGGCCTCTAACGTCGACACCAGGGAGCTATCCCACACAGTGGAAGTAGCCAACGGAAGTCGAACTTAGAAGAGTGATTTTCCTCGGTAGCTTTCAAAATACAGTCCCAACCAGGTGGAAGCAGTATCTTTGCCACTATCGAGGTCCCTGTGACTCGATACAATACAATTATATTCTGGGTTATTTATTCACTATATAAAGTTATAACGTTAGCGTGATTTAGAATACAAGTAACATCATCTATTATCAAAAAGATGAACTAATGTAATGTCAGGAGTAGGAATATATATTGCTGTTACAGTCTCCCCCTCTGTCTACGAAGTCGCCTCGACGAGAAAGACAGGGAAGAAAACTAGTTGTCCTTCTTCTTCTGTGGTCTACCTCGTGGTTTTTGGTTCCTTCTATGTAGCCTCTGAATTTATTGACAGCCCACACCACTGCCAAGGCTTCTCTTTCAGTAGTTGAATAGTTCCGTTCAGATTTATTCAACAATCGACTAGCGTACTCAACTGGGTGTTCATTCTCACCCTCCCCCTGCACTAAGACCGCTCCAATAGCAAAGTTGCTAGCATCAGTTTTGATGATATAGGGCTTAGTCTCGTCAGCCTGTGCGAGTACAGGAATAGTAGTTAACAGGGTTCTCAGAGTTTCAAATGCAAATGTCTGTTCTTTCTTCCAAGTCCACTCGGCGTCTTTCTTAGTGAGACGCGTCAAGGGCTCTGCAACCTTAGCAAAATCGGGAATGAACCTCCTGTACCAGGAACACATTTGTATAAACCTCATTAAGTGCTTCAAATTACGAGGTCGAGGTACGTTCATTATTGCTCATTGGTTAGTTGAACAGTCATTTGGTTAGTTGATCGGTCAAGGAGTTGGTCTTCTTTGTCGTAGTAACTCTTCCGTACTTAGTGACAACGTAGCCGAGACTTTGCCTCGTCGTATTGTGCTCTTCACTTGTGTCAAAGAACTCTTCCCTACTGCTCATAAGTTCGTCGTGGTAGTCCTTTAATAGGCCAGACGTTCGGGCGCCAGTGTAATACAGAGACCTTTTCAATAGGCCCCACGTTGGGCGCCAGTGTAATACAGAGACCTTTTCAATAGGCCCCACGTTGGGCGCCAGTGTAATACAGAGTCCTTTTCAATAGGCCCCACGTTGGGCGCCAGTGTAATACAGAGGGCTTTAATTTTAAATTCCCTTCAACAAGAAAATATAACAAGTTTCTTCTCGACAGATACAACTTTCCAAGCTGCTAATATATTATTTTAATTCTAATTAATATTCAAATGTTTTTAGTTTTTGTAACTGAATTAAATATCATTATTTTTATAATAAATTTCAAACAGTTACTTAGTATTGTATGTTACACATTTGTCTATTTTCGTCCACTCATTCACCTATCACCAACTTTCAAAACGTATTAAAATGTTTATATGCATGTTACAATTAAATTATCAATAATTTATTTATACCTAAGACCATTACAGTACCAAATGAAACAAGACTTCCGTAAAGTGAACGTTTTATAATATTTAGAATTATCACTGTAATCTATAAATTTTACAAATACATATTATAAAAAGTGTCTGAAGTGTTCGGAAAATAATTTTTAAAATAACTTAAGCCCGTAACGTTCTAAACTAATTTATAAAGAGACAAATCGTTAACTTTATATATAACATTTTAAAATTTTAATGCAATTATTAAATAATACTTATTCATTAAGCTCATACTTATAAAATGGTATTGATGAAATATCATTCAGTATAACGCATTCAAGTTATTGATCATTTTAATCAGACTGACAAAAAAGTGACTTCACCATACATTGATTGATACTCCATGTCATTGTTTAACGCTCTTTACAAATGAGAAGACTGATGAGCAAGTAACAAGCGATAGAAATCGCATATGTGAGCAAATTTATAATATCTTTTTTAATAAATTAAGAAATTGATAAATCATTTCTTCATTTTTAATATGGAACAAAACTCTCGTTTTTCGAATCCTGTTGCGTTCCTAATTGATATTTTGAACGATTAATCTATAAACATCTGCAAAATTGAAGGATGCTTCTGGTCCAATAACTATCTTGTCAAAAAGTGTTTCTTTGGTACCTAAGAGCCCCTGTTTCTACTCGCAGTTTGAGGGTTTCCAATGACCCCATGTTAATAAAATACGCTCAGTGCCTCAAAAAAGATTTGGGCTGTAGGAAAACAGATAAAAATAGCACACATAAACCTCCCGAGAAAGGGGAGAGTAGAGTATGAAAAAGAAAAGCGTTACAGACTCTCTCACTCATTGAACGAAATGCAGCCATTAAAGACTAGTCCTCACCGATTGAATAAATAGCATACTGACATTGGATTTTGAAGTACCATTTCATATTATATTTATGGTAAACTTCTTAACTAAGAAAAAAATTAGCTAAATTCGAGTGAATATATCAATATTAAATCAATATAATATTATTCAGGGAACATTGAACGTTTGTTAACAATCTATAAAGAAATAAAAACATTGAATCTCATTCGACTAAATTCAGTTTACAAACACGTGCCTCTAGCAGATAACTTGAGTATCAGTATTTAATATACGACCGTCATATTTGTGTTTGAAAATTAAGTTAGTTATATGAATGATAGGGATCTGATGAATTTAATTAAGGTTTGCCTTTTAGTGATGTTATATGAGTTATAAACTGTAATATTATAAATATATATGTTACAAGGTCATCTGCTAGAGTTTTTGTTGACAAATTTTTTAATATACCAACTGACTCATTTTCATATTTTCAGTGACAAATTTGAGTATTTGTAATTGTGTATACTTAAAGAAACTAATGTATTTAATATTAAACGATATTTTTCGTTAAAAATAAAGGCATTAATTAATTTGGTTCAGTAAAACACAGATAAATATTATTAAGATTACCAATAATCGTAATGAATAAAATTTTAAACATGTTTCTAAGTGATTCTCGAAATTAATGAAGATATTCATGCAACGAAGAACGTTTAAAAAGGAAATATTAATAAATTGTTATACATATGTCTAACATTTCATTATTCAACAAATTATAGGTCGTGTTAGAACGACCTAGAATTAAAGAACAAAGAAAAAACTGTTTACAGTCATGAAGCCTCAGAAACTTAAAGAGCATTTAAAATTATTTAATTTTACTTACAAAAAATTGTAATAAATAATTATCGACAATTGCTAAACCTTTCAATCATATTTATTGAAGTAGATATAACCAAATGTCACTTCAGAATTATTTCTATATTTCTGAAGCTATATATTAGCTTGGATTGAACTGTGAGTTCAGTAATATTTCTAGTAAAATCTCATATATATAGCTTAAGTCACAATTCAATCCAATCAATATTTTTCACACACACACAAGATCTCAAGACATCGCAAGCTCATTCTGTATATATCCTAAAGACGTTCTCTTAGACCCTGACGATAAAATAACAACCAACAATACAGACACGACCCCCATTACACAAAACCACACCAACACACGTCACCTTCGCCGGCGAAGACGAGATCCCGCTTCATACACGTCGCTCTGGCGTTCTGTCGTCGGGGAGCGTTATGCAATCACTGTACCGATACCAACCTCCACTTTAAGGCCTCGGCCTCGAATTTTGCGGGCAGCGGAGCGGCGGCGGCAGCGGCACGGCAACGCATACTGTTCTCCAAACTAGCGGGCAGCGGGCACCGTTGTATTCGAGGGTCGGTCCATTTGATTATACGCATAAGATCCTGCCGCTCCCGCCGCCGCTCCCCTGCCCGCAAAATTCGAGGCCGATGCCTAATGACGTCCTAAGCCGAGGTCCGGCCTTAGAGGCACCCTTGGGACGGGCGCATCCCCCGTCAGGGCCTTCGGGCCTGGATTAAATCGGGTCAGTCCCATCGGGCCACCCATCTCTCTCCGTGACGCTGTCAAAGTCATTACGGCTAAGAGCAACTGACAAGCCGAAACTAAAAAAATATTCAGAGCAGTATGCGAGAAAAATAAGAAATCGTAGAAGGTAGATGTTAAGTAACAAAATCAAATGACAGACATTCACATCTCGTCTGCCCGTGTTCACGGTTGATATAAAGTAGCCGAAACGTAGGGATCATATAGATATAAAGTTATAGAAAACCCGTATCCTAAAACCTTAGTATATATTTTTTTAAATAATTTTAAATGCCTCTTAAAAGTCTGATTTTTGTCCTTATAAAAGAAAAAAATAGAAAATATCATCGTATAACTTCAAAGAACAATCAATATGTGACATGGAAATATTCACCGAGAAGATTTATGGATAACATTTTTATTCAGTTTTAATCTTAAGATACTCGCTTACTGAGAACATTAATCGTGTGAGAATACACAGTGTTTATCGAATGGAATTCTAAATAATAGCTGATGAACCAATATGTTTTGAATTATGTTTTGAAATTGGCAATCGGTAAGGCCTTGAGGTCGATTTCAATTGCGTAGAATACCAAACAGAGATAAATTTCATTTAGGTATTTAGAAATCAGAACATGAGGTATTTTGATTCATTGTTAACCAATTTGAATCCCAGAATCAAATCGTCTTATCATTAGTACAAAGAGCTTCGCGGATAGACGCAGTAGAGCGGCGAAGAATTAATAGTATACATTAGAGTTTTGTGTATACATGAAAGTTATACTAATCTAAATATGTCAATTTTTTTAATACTTTTTACGCACGACATTCTTTAATATTAAAATTTTGCTGGTTTTAATTGTGATATGAGTTTATAGTTCTTTCAAAAAATTTAGTTTGGTTAAGTTCTGCTTAGACCATGAGGAAATTTTTACATTTTTTTAATCATTTCAATATACTTAAAATTGTTATAGCTGAAATTCCCATTTACTTGAAGCACTCGACGTTTATGTATTTTGTACCTTATGTATGTATAATTAAAATGACATTTTGAGTAATTGCCATTGCAAATACACTGATAAAACGTGGACGTCTAAGGACATCGATGTATTGAAATTCAATTAGTTTGTTATAAACTGTTCATAAGTTTAAACCACGCTGTAGGAACGATGTTCCTCTATCAAAAGTAGTTGGAATCTCCAGGTTTCTTAAATTACACTTAAAAATTTGTTCCTAATTTCTTATAAAGTATTAGAAAGTTACATTCTTGTGTTCCAGTAATTACAATTGTTATTACAGGATAAGGCAAGAGTAATTGAATTCCGCATTTCAAATGTCTTGTGTTAAATCAGTAGCTAAAGATTTATTTCTTGACTAATTATTTAAATAATAAAATATACAGTATGAAATTTTGCTTAGAACTAAGACAAATTAAACATTAAATAGAAAAATCGACAGATTTCGTTTTAAGCACACCTCTACATCTTTATTATTAAACTAACATTGGCGACTAAATTAACTTAATACAAAAAATCTGAAGCTGAAAGCGTTGTCAAATGCAATTTGCATAAATATTCGCTTATTAACATAAAATTACTCTTAAATTTTAAATAAAATGTCACAATTCCTTGGAGATAATCGTAAATCTCTTCCGCGATTCTCCGACACGGAGTCTACTGAGATTTACGAACAATTATTTGCGAGTTAATTACGTTAAGAGTAACTATAAATAAACAACATTATAATTAATATAAATAAAGGTGAAATGAAACTAAGTTTTTCGTATATCAAGCGTTTTTGTTATTTTATGCCATCATGATCCAAACTACTTTTATTTCGTCTGTCCGTGATCACGGTTGCTGTAAAGGATCGAAACTTTGGGATCATGTTCATACAAAATAAAAATAACGC